AAAGGCTGATTAGAATTATATATAAAGTAAGAGCAAGTAGGCTTTGATTGAATAGATGATTTCTACAATCTGAAGATTTACGTTTTCTATGATTCTTGGTCGTCTACTTAGTATGCTGCACTCAGGGAGAAACATAAAATTTTTGTTTTATTATAATTTAAAATGAAGTTTATTTTATTTTTATTTTCTACCTACAAAAGCAATACATGCTCATTGCATAAAGTATGAAAGTTTACCTACTGAACAGAAATGTACTGATATGGAAAAATGTTTATGAGATCTTAAATAGCAATTCAAAAATAGTTCTATTATGTTAACAAACCCTGATATATTTGAGACATAGATAATATTTGTAAACATATTAAAAACACCACCTCTAGAGAAGAGATAGGATTTGAAGAGGTAGGTTATGATGCGGGGGGAGCTGGCAGTAAAGAGAAACATGATTTTTTTTCAATTTTGTTTCTACATTACTTTCATGTTTTATAAATAAGCATACATGGCTTTTTAAATTTTAATAATGAAAACAATTAGAAAGTACAGATAAGCAAGAAGAATTATATATGAATGCCTACTAGTATTACCTCTCTAGATTTCTAAGAGTACATACTCGCCTGGAATATCCTTTTTTATGGATATATACTAAAATCCTGAGATAGATAAAGATATATTATACAAAAATTAGATCTCCTTTAAAAAATGACAGGCTCATATGAACCTTTTTCCATGTCCTTAAAAATCTTTCTGCAACTTTATTTTTAGGGCATCAGCTTAGATGTGCCAATTTCCCCTTGGATTATATAGTTACACATAAAAATAACGTAATGGAAAATGAAGCAACTCTAGCCAATTTAGATCTCACCCAAACAACTTTGATTTTAGACGTTGAGGAACAGTGTATACATTTTCCCTTACTGAATTAGTTAGACAACTGTTCCCAAGCCCTGCTTCATGTAAACAGCTTAGTGATGAGGGGTTATCTCCTTTTAAAATATATCAACAGTTTTATAAAAAAGAAGGCATATCTGATACCTATCTGTTATTTTGACCAATGTAACTTTTCATGATGTTGACATTTCAGAAATGATTATTTAAAAATATTAGTCTTGATTTATTTTGCAGAGCTTCAAAAAGAACTATAAATATGCTGAATCACTAGACATATTATCCAACGTTGGATGTGCACTGTCCATTACTGGTCTGATTCTCACAATTATATTTCAGATTGTCACCAGGTAAGAAGGGAAGCTGGCTCTTCTCATGAAACAAATTGCTATGCTTATATTATTTCCTTTGAGCATATTGTCATCAGAATATAGCTTCTTGAAACTAGAAGGGAAATCAGAGTTAGTTCAACATGCCAATTTTACAGAAGACACTTGGCCCTGGAGAGGCTAAGAAATACACACAAATAAATATATAATTACAAACTGTGGTAAGTGCCTTAAAGGAAAATTACATACCACGTAATTACAAGTTTGTCATATGAAATCAACATGGTCACGTAGCTCAGTGATGCCACAGTTCCTTTGTGTTGAATAAAACCATAACTACCAAAGTGCATTTGTAAAAGAAAAAAATATTGCTAAACAGCAAAATTTTTGAAAATGAAATTAATTTAAAAAATATATTAAGTTTTCAAATGGCAAAACTTTGTAAAGTTTATGAATTCCATAGTTTAAAAAATCTAATTAAAAAATTACTGATAAACACATATTTCTCTCCACCTTGGCCCCCTCACTCATGGTCCAATTTTGTATAGCACTTGTTATTTTCTGTTGCATGCTACATTTTTAGCAATCTGTAAATGTAAGCTTGTTCATTTATTAGGTTACTTGTGTACTATCTTTTTTTCCCATCAGCATGAAAATTGATGAGGACAGTGACTTCCTCTGATTTTGTTGTTGCTATTATTTCTTTTGTTTTCGTCACTGTATCCCCAGGGCTGAGCACAGTACTTGGCCCATAGTAGAGGAGCATCTGTGGAATATATGAGTCTATTGTGCATTCCTACCTGGTTTTCCTGTCAAACTCAAGATGTCTCAAAATGAATTCACCTTTCCTTCAAAATTATTTCTCTTGACTAAATTCCTTCCCAACAGTTTTCTCAGATGTATAGATTTAGAATTTTTTGTATTGAAAGTATTGCTGTTTAAAATTCTTTCCTGAAATTTTATTTTTTAAAAACCTACAGAAAAATTGAAAGAGAACACTGAACACCCATATACCCTTCACCTAGATTCACCAATTATTAATATTTTGCTCTTATCTTTTTTCCATTTTTTTCCTGAAATTCTGAAAGTAAGTTGTAAGCATCATGACTGTTATCTCTAAATTCTTTGAGCACATATCTCCTAAGAACAAGGGCATTCTTCTGCATAGTATAATACAGTTATCCTCACTCAGGAAATTTAACGCAAGAAATTTAACATTAATATACTGTTATCATATTAATATACAATCCATATTCAAATTTCTTCTAATTGTCCCAGTAATGTCTATTATGTAATAGCTGTTTTTTTCTCTCAATTTATTTAGTTGTCATATCTCTTTAGCCTCCTTTAGCCTAGAATAATTCCTCTGCTTTTTTTATTTCTTTGTTTTGGTCTTTCATGACATTAAAACTTTTGGAGTGTTCAGGTCAGGTATTTTGTAGAAGGAAGAATATTCTACAACTTAGGATTTGTCTGAAATTTTCCTCATTATTAGATACCAAATCATTAAGTCTTTCAGTGTGACACAGCAGGAAGTACATGATGTCAAGTTGTCCCATTATTGGTTAAGTTCGATTACTGGTTTAAAGTGGTGTCTGCCAGATTTCAACACTGTAAAGGTGCATTTTGTCCCTTTGTAAATAATAGGGAATCCATGGGGTGATACTTTTGAGACCCTGTGACTATCCTGTTCCCCAACTTTTACTCAATGGTTTTGGCACCCACTGATGATCCTTGCCGAAATATATTATTACATTGGTAGTTGAAAATGATAGTTTTCTAACCTATCATTCTTTCTATATTTA